GTGCACATAAAATAATATTTCAGTTCAAAATTGCAGTATTTAAACTTCGGTGGGACAACAGTCGACATAAATGGACTCTGTAAAAAGACTTGACTCGTTGTGGTGTGGTGGGACCAACCTTGTTCCCGGTCTAGCCTGGCGCGTGCGTTCCTGGGCTGGCGGAGCGGGCGCAGCGGGCGCAGTGCGGGCGCGGCGAGCAGGGCGTAGCGCTCGCACAGCGGCTCCGCGTCGCCGGCGGGACGCAGCGCACCCCACGGACACGCGTACAGCACGCCCTCCACACCCACCACCAGCTCGCGCCGACCGCCGCAGCCGCGCCGACCGTGCATAGCTGCAATTATTTTACATTCACATCATGAAAATTAACTAGCCGCAATCGAGTTGGAGCCATTTTCCTTATTATTTGGAGAAATGAAGATACAGGTTTTCTTAGTCAAAGTAAAAATATAGTTTTCGTTATTAAAACCAATTGACAGTTTTGTATTTAAATAGTAATAGTAAGTCGAATGACTTATCCAAGCTGCAATTTAATATCATCAAACCATGATTGTTATTGCAGGATGCCGGCAGGAGATCCTCGAAGGGCGCGATCAACATCTGGTAGAGCATGTTGAGGCAGGGCGGGCCTTGCCACGCCGCTTGTTTCTTACGAGGACCGTGTGCGCTCGATCTGTCGAACAATGCATATTATACTATAAATAAGTCTTATTTCTTGATTACATCTTATGATTTTAATCCGGGATATAAACGATTTCACGAAGATGATCCATTTGTCAATATTCGTTCATACCTCGTAGATCCCTGTAAACTGGCGACGGAGCCGGCCACTGAGCCCCCGACTGAGCCCACACTGAACAGAGAACTCAGAGAGTAGTTGGAAGAGTTCAGTAAGTGATTGCGTGACACCTGCAAACAAAATTAAAGGACCTCATCGTATATACTGTCATGGTAATTTAAAGATTTTCGTCTGGATAATTTATTGAAATAATGAAGTATACCATTCTAGCAAGTCCCGCGTTAGGTCTCTCGTCAGGCTCCCACTGATCCTCTTCATTCCTGCGCTCAGCAGTCTTCAGCCAGGCAGACCACTCGCTGATGTATCGTTCCAGTTTGCCCAATGAACCTTACAAAAATTATGGTAAAAAACTATAAATCTAACTTTAAATTTGATTAAAGCTAAGTACACGTTGTTATTTTTGGAAGTATTCTAAATTAATATTTTGTGCTTTGCCATTTTTGTGATTAGACTCACCTGCGCTTGGTTGCAGGTCATCAGGACTTATATCAGGCAGGCTGTTATCGCTGTCCTCGTTCTGGTCTAAAAGTGACACTTGATGGAATCGCAGAATACCTGGAAATAAATAATAATAATCAAAGTCCATATGAAAGAAAACAATGCACTTTTACTAAAATATTTAAAGACAAATTACCCTTATGCGGCTGCAGCAGCCACGCATACAGTTTCCCGGCAGCCAGGCTGTAGTACAGCACGGGCGCCTTCTGCTTGTTCACCACCTCCAGAATCTGCTCCACGTTGCTCGGACTCCACAGCTCTGGTCTCTCCTTGTTGGCCTCTTCTGGCATATTTCTGTATACCAAACACGAAACCTTAAAGTACTAAGAATAAAAATTAAGAGGGTTTAAGGGGAAAGGACTTCTAAAAGAAGATGGTGAAGAAGTTAAAAGGATCTATTGATTTTGATTTTGTTGGAGTAATAAGTTATACTGAATGCTCATAGCAATATTACCTTTGCGCAGTGTGCAGTTCGAGGTTGGCCTGGTTGAGCGTGCCGGGTTGCTTGTCGGCTAGCACGTCCAGCGAGCGGCAACGCCCACGCTCCGCCACCACCAGCGCCTCGGGGTGACGGCCGAGCTCTGCAAATAGTCTGATGTTACCATAATAATACGAAACCGTGAATGAAAATAAAACTACTAGAAAGTTAGGAATCTATTTTGTTTTATTTACGACAATTTTGATTACCTGTAGGATATTGCAGATGACTGACATAAATACCTACCTAACGACAGTTCTAAGACGGGAAGGTTAATTTTTAAGAGACTAACCGACAAGTACTCGCTGCAGCGCATGGTGCGTGGAGGTGTATAGCGGCGCGGTCGTCCTGTCGCGGTGGCGAGAGCCGGCCTCTAGGCCTGCCAGCGCGGCTGCCAGCTGCTCGCGCGCCTCCTCCAGCTCGCCTGACGCCCACAGAGCGAATCCCAGGCGGTGACGGACTTTTGCCTGACAATTGAAAAGATTTGTTTGATAATTGATAATTTAATAATTTTACAATGTTTTGATTGATTAAACAAAGAATATCCTAGAGATGGTACCAGATTTTAATGGTACCAGAAGAGAAAATGCTTATTTGTTATCGACCGTTCCGGAAGCACCGAATGTTTTTCCATGTGAACTATGGCGGGAAATGAATAAGTGTAATATTTTACCTCTTCATCAGCATCAGACAATCCTTCCGTAGCTGCTAATGCTTGTCTCAAGTATGACACGGCACTGCCACACGCGCCCATCGCCAAATGAGATCTCCCTAAATCGGCTAACGCGTTCGCACGTCCCCTTGTGTCTCCTATTCAAATGGTTAAATTTGATTAGATTAGATTACAGATTGCAGATTGATAGACGAATTGGAGGTGATGAGTATATTATTGTGGTTAAGGTTCCTTACCAGCAGCTGTGGCGTGACGCAGGCGAGATTCGTGCCATCTCGCGGCTTCTGCGTGCGCGCCCAAAGATGCGTGTGCAGTACCTAGGCCGCCGCAAGCCCGGGCCTGTAAACATAGACATTAATTTAAATAAATACAAATAGTAAGTAGTTTGGAATAACGACGGATTACGGACTAAGGAACATAAAGTGTGGATTCGGTATTCTACTTTAGTTAGTCTTCATTAAGAGCAGAGTTGATAGGAGAAGTAGAGACTGGAAAGTTATTAGAAGTATAAGAGCAAAGCAGTCAGGTAACAAGTAACCTGTAGATGTGTGAGTCCGAGGCGGTGTGCGAGCTCGAGCTCTGCGCGGTGGTGGCGCACTGCGGCCGCGTGCTCGCCGCGCGCCTGCTGCGCCACGCCCAGCGCGTGCCACGCCTCCGCCTCCATTATCTGGTTGTTCAGCTCCCTGTGTACAGTATACATTAAAGCTTACATCCTTCATATTACCTGTTACTCGCCTACAAACATGTTTGTGTACCGTCGTTTTACGTATTTGTTAAGAGAAGGTATCACAGCTACGCTGTAAGGAATTTTCTCAGGTACAGGTTTGTTGTATTTTTATGCATAGAAAATCGATTGGGCAATTGTTAGAAAACCATCATGGTATTACTTTGGAAATATCTTTAAACTTAGATTGATTACTAGAAAAGTATACTGACTTAGCGATGTTCTTCTGGTGCTCGAGGCAGGAGAGGGCCTGGTCGAGGTTGCCGAGCGCGATGTGGAGCGCACCCAGCTCGCCGTACGCCTGCGCCTTGGCGTCGGGCGCGCCTAGTTCGTGCGCCACTACCAACCGCTTCTCGAGACACACTAGTGCCTGCTGCAGGTTTCCCACTGATCTGAAACGTACAAATGAGTGTCATCTTCATATTATCACGAGTCACGTTCTCATATTCATACATGAAAATTCTTTGTTGACGTACTTATGACTGAGGCCCAGTCCGCGGTAGGCGCGCTCCTGTTCTCTGGCGTTGTCCAGCTTAAGGGCGGCGGCGAGGTGCTGCTCGTGGTACTTGAGGGCTTCGTCGGGGTCTGCCAGCGCGTCGTAACAGTCACCCAGTGAGCCCAGCGCCCGCGCCTTGTCCACCTGGCACGTTGGACTGTTCACGCGCTCCAGGATTGCTAGTTGCTGAAAGAATAGACGCATTTTAAAATGTTAATATTTTCTGTTCAAATAGAAATGTTGTTAAATAAAATATTTAATAAAAATAGTCACCTGTTCTAAATATCCGATAGCATCTTCGTAATGTCCCATGTTTAGTTTAGCGATACCGAGGTTGCCGTACGCCTGCGCTTCCAGAGCACAGTCTTGTAGCTCTTGGGCTCGCTCCAATTGTTCCTGTACATTATCAAAATTTAATTTATCAATATTTTACCATAAATTATATTAAAGCTAGAATTTAACAAAATGCTATCTGCGACCGATTTACTAAAACCATATCAAACACGATAAAAAAACATACACTTTTTAATTCCAACTTTACTCAGTTGTAATACAGTTTCAAACAATTCATCTAATTTCCAAGGTGTAAGTTGTCAAGTCAGGTGTAGTTATATCAGTGTGTACTGACCCTATAGCACCTGGCGGCGTGTGAGTAGTGTCCTAGCGCCATGTGTACAGCGCCGAGGTGCGAGTGTGCCCGCGCCTCGCCCGCCGCGTCGCCCGCCTCCTGCCGCAGTGTCAGCTCCTTGACATACAACACCGAATTACAACTATCTGTGTTAATTTTGTCTCTGTTGTTTTCAAAGAGAATGAGAGGGATTGCAATATAACATTGGAAACTCACTCTTCTAGCTTTCTCATATGAAAGTTTAAAAACAGAAAGTAATACCTGAGTATGGTGACCTAAGGCTGCATCCAGTCTTCTCTGCAGTCGTCGCGCGAGACCCAAAGCACCACACGCCGCTGCCTCCAATGATCGGTCCCGAGCCTGTAACACAAGTCCATACTAAATATCACACTCAGAGTCATCATCATAGGAGTTCATGAAGGAAATTCCTAAGTATATATTTTGTGCCGTAGTTTACAGAACGAAAAAAAAAGTAAATCTATATTTTCGTACAGAAGTAACAAAAATATTCTCACCTCCCTAGCGAACCTTAACTGCCGTTGATACATCTTCACCGCTTCTTCGACATCCCCCATCTTTATCAGTACATCGCCAATATTGCCCAACGCTCTGAACTTGCCTTGCAGATGCTGCGTCATGTGCGCTATCGCCAAGAAATATTTCTGGCACTCTAATGCTGTCTCCAAGTTGCCCAGAGCCAAATGTGCCAGACCAAGGTTGCAGTACGCTCTGCCCATGTTCATTTTGTCTTGTAAATCTTTAGCTAATGACAGATCTTGATCGTAGTACCTTCAGGCAAAAGTGAAAATATACATTTCAAGCTATTTTGGAAATACCTTCAAACAAACATCCATTCATCTATTCATTCAGACATTCGCATTTATAATAGTAAGATTTTTTCGATTATTGTTATTTGTGGTTATTTGCTTTTAGTTAGGCAATCTAAGAAAAACAATTGAATATACATATACACCGGTGACGCGACTCAAGGCGTCAAAGGATCTTTTAAATATAATCGTAATTTAAAAACAAAAGAAAGTGAAACGTTATTACCTACAAAACACCATATTTTATCAACCATCACCATATTACATATTTGAATGGGCACAAAAAGGACAGTAAGTTAGATGTAAACGAAGCATGTTCTATGTTCCACTTACCTGACCGCCTCTCTATAATTGCCCAAGCAGTAATGAGCGTATCCCAGAAAGTGGCAGGCCTTGGCCTCTGCGGTGACGTCACCGAGCTCCTGTGATAGCATGAGGTGCTGCTCGTAGTATGGCACGGCCTGCGCGAACTCTCCGCGCGAGGAAAGGCAGTTGCCCAGATTGAGGAGGGCGCACGCCTCGCCCGCCGCGTCTTTTAACTCGCGAGCTATGCCTGTAGTGTTAATAACCTCTATTAAGTAAGGGTAATAAAAAAAAGAATTTAGTGTCACCTTAAGAATTTTTTCGGCGATAGTTCTAAAAATAAAAATATTTCTCCAAAAGTCGTCAATAGTCAGCGCAAAATATTTGTTATTTGAATGAAGCGGCTACTAGCTTTTACTTCTCAGCTCTGTAGTACTACTACATTAAACAGCTTTCCTTACCTAAATGTGCTCGATAATGGAACAGCGCCATATCGTGTGCGCCAAGTGCCTGATAGGCTACTGCGAGGTTGCCGTGCGTAGACGCCTCGGAGCTACGGTCATGAACCTCCTTGGATATCGTCAGCTCCTGCTTATGGTATTTGATGGCCTGCTCGTAGAAACCCGCTGCGGAATACGCATTGCCGATGTTTCCGTACGCACGACCCATTCCTGCTTTATCCTGGGAAAAAGATTAAATTGTATGCGTGTACACGAAGATTTTTCAATGAGTTACCTAAGCGCAGTTAGAGCAGATTTTTCTAACAAAAAGAATACAGAGACTTCTTCAGTAACCAATTAAAGGACTGGGGGCAAAGTTACAAGAATGAATAAAAATGCAGAAAGGTATTGATTTATATTTACTATAACTAAATATAATGAATCTACCTGCAATTGCCTTGCAATAGACAGATGGGCTTGGTGCAGTTTGAGAGCTGCGTCATGTTCCCCCAGTAGTTGATAAACAATGCCTAAATTAGAACAAGCGCGACCTTCGCCAACCTATAGAAACACAAGTACATTAATTAAAAAAATTGCATGAAGTTTCACAAACCAACAAAACTTTTGCATTTTACGTATACGAATATTAAACAGGTACATTTCGTAGAAAAAAAGAATAAAAACCTTGTCTCTGGCAGCTAATGCAACGTCCAGTTGTCTCTCATGCCATTTCTTAGCTTGTGCATAATCACCGGCACATCTGGAAATAACACGTGTATAAAATAAAAAAAATAGTCAGTAATGACTTTGACGGGTAAAATTAAAGCAAAAAAGTTTCGGGTATACGTTGCGTGACTAGCTACAAAAACGACGTGTGTTTAAATCTTACTAATATTATAAATGCTTAAGTTTAGATCGAAGGTATCTCCGGAACGGCTGAACGGATTTTGATAAAATTTGGCACACATGTAGAACATAGTCTGGATCTTATTATGTTTTTAATTGCGCGCGTACGGAGTCGCGGGCGACAGCTAGTCAGTTATATGAATTGTAATTTACCTTGCTGCATGTCCTAATCCAGCGTATGCTCTAGCCTCAATGGCTCGATCGCCGAGATTCTGAGCTATTCTTAATACATTTTCATGATAAGCGATCGCTTGGGAAAAATTACGTCTATAGTGATACGATGATCCAAGATTTGAATATGCACGTGCTTCTTCCACCTGAAAACAAATAAAAGAAAAGGGATGTGTTATCTAATATAGCTTTTATATCAACCTACTCCAATTGGAAGAAGTAATAGTTTATTTTTATTATAGCAAGAGCGGTAAATAAATAGCTATAACAAGGGATAAGATTCCAAGGAATAGACATTTTCTCTAATTGGCTCCATTTGCATAATGTGTATAGATTGGCGAGTTCGATTAAGAGTTACAATTAAATCCCATGCTAAGGCAGATTAGACAAGAGCAGCTGACAACTGCAAGGCTGTAAAAGCTTATTGCGCTTTCTTCTTCAATTACTTGTTAAAGGTTAAACTACCGTTTATTTGGTTGTAATTGCCATTTAAAAAAACTCTGATTGTTACTCGTAATTTATCATTAACTTAAACAATTACGTATTGTGTTTTTTGTGATTCCTTTAATAGCGTGTCTTACTTCAGGTCACTTTTACGGTAAACTTGAATTTAAGCTGCCGTTATTCTGTATTTGCAGTAACACTTTCATCTATCTTCTATCCAAATGCGATAGATTTATCTATCAATGTGTCTATCTAACAAGTTCAGTGCCATCTAAATTAATTGATATCAATTAGATGGCACTAGTTATATATCTTAGGTCTAAAATCATAGTATCTAAAGTGTAACTAACCTGATCGCCAAGTCGCCTGGCCAATCTCAAGTGCTGTGTATGACAATCAACAGCTGAATCGAACTCCCCCATGGCTAGGTACACCGCGCCCACGTTGCCAATCTCTCTTGCTTCCTGCAGCCTGTCGCCCATTTGCTTCACCAGCTGTACACATTGCTTGTGACTGGCGAGCGCGTTCGGATAGTCTCCTATCGCAGTGTACACGTGCCCTAAGGAGGTTAGAGCTGCTGCTGCGGCTTGTGTATCCTGTAAGAAAATTATTCCAGGAGTAAGTGTCCGTAAACTGTCACTTCAGAAACTATAACACAACAGCGTTGTCTTAATTTTCAGAAAGGACGAAGACACAGCATTATGTTTAAAAAAATAACAAGTAATAAATTTACTCTGCCATTTTGAAAATAGCGGCGACTTTTTGCAACGATCTTGACAAACAGATAGCGAGCGACTGGCGACGAAAAGACAAAATGTTCGCGACTAAAGAACAAAACGTCGGCGACGCGAGATTGTAATGTAAGTCGCTTGGAAACTATAATCGGTCTCAATCATTAAAGGACGTTTACGATGCAGTGCACTCATCGAAAAAGCTACTTTTTATTGCTTCAAGAGATACCACCAAGATTTGTGTTCATACATCTTAAATAGGTACACAATTTATTTTTCCCCGTATCAATTTAATAACTGTCAGAATAGGGGTTCGATTGATACTTTTTAGTATCGATTTGTGAGAGATTATATATTCAAAGTGGACATTAATATTATGTATATCAATGACCTTCTTTCTATTAATATTATTTTAATAAATTTTTGTTATAGAGTATTTTAGCGTGACATTTGTCAATATCAAATTGTATCTTTTATATGCTTTGTTTTATTAAAATTACTATAACTGTTTTGGTTTTAAAAGTTAATGAATTAAGACTTAATACATTAATTATCTATTTTACTTTAAATTCCCTTACTATAAATCAGTCTAATGCTTTAAAATAAAAGATAAATAAGACGCGTCGCATCCCTTTTACTAAGGAAATGGTTGACAAAAAACATCACCTTACTAGTGGTGTTTGTATGTCGAAATAGTCATATCGATGTCTTTAAATTGGTATTTTGTTTCTTAATGTTAAAATAAATAAGTTCTCTTACCGTTTGAATTACAAAAATATATTTCAAAGTATTAATATAGTTAAAAAAATATAACGGCATTTAAAAAAATGGTTTCTTATGAAAATATTTTGTTTATTACATATTTATCTCTTTTCATAAGTAGAAAGTAAGTAATTGTTTATAGTAACAATCCTATATATCCATGTATGTATTTCTTAAACGCACACAAATAAGATAATCAATCTATATACTACGAGTTTTAATTAACTCTTCGCTCTGTATAAAATCTCAATTCAACGTTAGAAACGGTCGAGCGATTTCGAATTACTAACGACCAGTATTGTCGATATTATCGTGAACTAAATGCCAGTTAAAAGGGCCAGCACTAAAGTTCACTCGGCCACTACAATCTAGCTAATTAAGTATGTGCAACATGATGTGATAATGCTGTGATTTACATATACCTACGATCTACTTAAGACGTTTTTCGTCTACCCAACTCACGGCCTGTTTCTCGCTATCTATGACTATAGAGAAATGGACTCGACAAAGAGCTGTTGTTGTGCTAAATTCTGGTTCTTTACGTACGAAAGTAAACATTGCAATTACACTTGTGACAATGTTGACACTTACATAAAAATTAAATGTTATTACGAACGCACATCCAGAATTTACACACACAAAACGAGCATACAAGTAAACCTATTTAAGAATTTATTGTTCGTTTATTGATAAAGTCCACTATACTTTAAAGTATTCTGTGATAGAATCGAAGGCGCTTGACAGGTCCTGTTCTTAAAAGTCAAAGGCTTATATACGATCCGGTGAAATGTCCTCAGATAAGATAATTGATATTGATGGCATTTTAAAAATACAACTTACGTGAATAGAAAATGAATTTGGGTAATTTAAAAGAAAAAAAAACTTGATGTTCTTTTCTTTTATCTAAGTTTTTGGCGTTTACTTTGGAAGGAAATTTCGTGTTTATAAAAGTCAACGTAGAATAAAAACAACGCTAGTAAAAGAATGAATTTTATTTTTATCACATATATTTATACTACGATGAACGTATTTTTTTCTGATTTTTGGATGTTCTAATATTACTAAACAGTGCATAACAAAATTAATAGTGCAAAAAGTAATTTTTTTCAATTCAGTTAATTTAAAAACTAACTGTCGCGCGTGAGCGACTTCGTCCGCGAGAAATCGCAAAAAAGAAAAAAGTAGTCTATGTGTTCTTCCACATTTTCAAACAAAAATCCATCCATGTAAACATTCGCTTCTATAAGTAAGAAGTAAGATAAAACTAAGGTTATATAGGAGTAATTGTAGACGTAGAAAGTTTTTAAATATCCTTTTCTAATCGGGATGTAATATAAAGATAGTGTTAATGACCAGTATTAGCTGTTTAAAGGCTGTCAAGATGCCGGCGACCATTAATAAACTTCGATAGTTGCGACTGGGTGGTACGAATATATTCAATTTAACGCCAACTTGGTATTCACGATACATGAATATGTATTTTTTATGATACCTCCGTTTTGCAAGAATGTGTATGCCATTTGAGAATGTACTCTTTTAGTTCTGTTAAACATGCAATTAATTTACAAGGTAAAATGATATCGACTTTTATGGAAAACAAATTGTACTTGAGCGTGAGTTTTTGAGTTGCGTTCAGCGGGGTGCGTATTTCTTTTTTAAATTATTACTAGTTGTGGTAACTTGTAGATGTTTTACTGGTATTTTGCTTTGGTATTTAATTTCTCACGATCAATAAAGTCTTGTTTGTTCTTTAAACGTTTTAATATTTAAATAATATCGTATTTAAATAAAACTTTTTAAAGACGCATCTGTAGGTACAGATCTTTTTACATTGCTAAAATACACTTAATTAAATTAATTCTTTTTGCGTTGTCAAATATTGCACACATTTTATTTATAGAAGTATTAAACATTTAACTTAGAAAAACAATCCTTTTACGGTGACAGGCGTTACAAAATAACCACCATCTGCCACAAATAGAATATTCTGGAATTATTCTAGGCGTGTATTAATGAAGTCGGGAGTCAGAACTACATGTTAGTGTCAAATTGTTCACGCTACATTATCGGGACATTGCATAAAGATGATTTAGCTTACGTCATTCGTTTAAATATTCTATATTTTGAAGTCAATAGCCTAATGGTTAAGGGTGTGCATTTCCGATCACGAGTGTGTTCGAATCCCGCCATTCGACTATTGTAGTAAACCATGTCCTGGCACAAGCAATAGAGCTTAGTTGGAATAGTAAAAGATAT